AGTTAGGGAAAAAAAAAACCCTTTTAACTGGAAATTTTTATTTTAATTTGGGCCAATGGGAAAATACAAGTAAAAGTTACATAGTGTCTAGAAAAACAACAAAAATGAAAATACTACCTATCAAAATTTTTAGTATACATCTAAAGCAATACCCAGAAAATTTACAGTTTCAATGCTATAAATAAATAATTAAGTACTCATCTTCAGAAATTAGAAAAGGAATAAAATAAACCAAAAGAAAATAGGCTAATTAATGAATATAAATGCATACATTAATTAATGATATAGAAAATATATAATTATACTGGCTTAGGAACAAAGATAGCAAAATATCCAATGCTGGAAAATTATATAGAGACCACAGAAATAGGAAAACTAACGGAATTATTAGGGAATATTACATGAAGATAATCTGGGTAATATATTTGAAAGCCTAGAAGAGAGTTATTACTTCATAGAAAAATATAAATTTCTAAAATCAAGGTGCAGTTGAAAATTAGAATAAATCAATTAACATTAAATTGGGAAAGTGAAGAGCTACCAAAGAAAATGCCAACATAAGTTTGGTTTTATCTAACTTTTGAGAAAAAAAAAAAAGATACTTGTAAAGGTATTTAAACTTCTATGCCACAGAAAACAATTAAACTTTAATGTTGTAGTTTGATAAAGATAGTACAATAAGAGTAAAACCACAGACCAGTCGTAGCTCATAAATATTGATACAATGATTCTACTTAAGTTTTTCTTCAAGAATCATAGAAATGTACACTTGAAAGCTATGTAATCTTATTAACCAATGTTACCCCACTAAATTTAATTAAAAGTAAGTAAATAAATATAAAGAAGAAAGAGAATGGTAGCAAATATAGCAACATATTAACGTTTAATCTACGTGCTACATATAGAGATTATCTATAATAATCTATAATAATAAAAGTGTAAATCGACCAAACAGCTGAACAGTGGAACGACCTTCCGGATGACCATGCTATGACACCTACTGGCATCAGGCCAGCCAAGGTGGATGCAATGCGATTGGTTGGGGGGCCCCACCGTTGCCCTGCAGAGGGAGGCACAGGCCACCAGCCAACAGGGCGATCAATTGGGGGGCCCCATGATCAGCCCAAAGAGGGAGGCCCAGGCTACCCTGCAGTGGCACTGTAGCGGGTGGGTGGGGCCTCCCTCTGTGGGCACCATCCATCGCAGAGCTCTGGCTGGTGGGCAGGGCCTACCTCTTTGGGGTGATTGATTGTGGGGCTCCTGGACTGCAAGAGGGCAAGGGCCAGGTTGAGGGACCCCCCTCCAGTGCACGAATTTTGTGCACCAGGCCTGCAGTATATAAATATTTTTGAATGTTTGAAATATTTTCCAATTTATTTAAACAACCATATTTCTATTACAAAAATCCTCAACATGCTCAATAAAATATTTGGCAATATTAAAATATATATTCTAAAGTTTTTAAATTATACTCTTCTCAGAAATATTTTCTGTTAATAGGATCAGAAATTTGAGGTAATAGGTAGCAGGGGTTTTGTTAAATGCAGAGAGAGGTTTTCTTTGGGTAAGGAGCAATCTTGATATCATACTACATAAGTGTGACTCTTCCTTTGTGTAACAATAGCCTATTTGGCATTTTTCACATACTTTCTGATTATATATACTTTAAGTATTGTGATTTTTACAGTAGCAGTGTTTCCTCCATAGTTTACTTCTCACATTGAGATACACATACCCTTTAAGGCAGGTAGCATTGGGCAAGAGTACCCAAAATCACAGACTAAGTATGGCATATGTTTCAGGAGTATAAATTTTTATTGAAGATTAGGGATGGGACTAGTTAACTCTGGTCATTTATGTTTTATGTCAAAATAAGCATAGCCATATTATGGAATAAAATTAAAATTTTTCATAAATTCTATCTAATAAAAGAGTAATTGCAAATTGACCATCACTCTAACACACACGATGGCCGCCCCCATGTGGTCAAAGATGGCCATCACAAGATGGCCAGCAGGGGAGGGCAGTTGTGGAGGACCCAGGCCTGCAAGGGAGAGCACTCGGGGGGAACCAGGCCTTCAGGGGAGGGCAGTTAGGGGCAATTGGGCTCGCAGGGGAGCAGTTAGGCATGTATCAGGCTGTCAAGGGAGTGGTTAGGGGCAATCAGGCAGGCAGGCAGGTGGGTGGTTGGGAGTAAGCAGTCCTGGATTGTGTGAGGGATGTCCAACTGCCCATTTATTTTGTTCATTAGGCAGATCGGGCCTAAACAGAAAGTCAGACATCCCTCAAGGAGTCCCAGATTGAAGAGGGTGCAGGCTGGGTTGAGGGACACACCCTCCCCCCGTGCATGAATTTCGTGCACCAAGCCTCTAGTCCTATCTAATAATAGACAAACATGGTAATTAACCATACCTCCGCTATGTGTCCCATTGGCTAATCAGGGTGATATGCAAATTAACTGCCAACAAAGATGGCGGCCGGCAGCCAGGCAGCTGAAGCAAACATGAGGCTTGCTTGCTCCAGTGATGGAGGAAGCCAAGGTTC